TGCTATTCTTTCTTGTGAACCTGGCACACTATACTAAACAAATACTCAAGCTACCAGGAGGGCAAGCAAGTCCCAGGGAATCCAGAGTCAAGCTTTAAGTCCTTCATTTCTAATCTTGTGTACTCAGAACAACCTATAGAAAGTACATGTGAAAAAGAAAAGAAAAGAAAGTACACGTGAAAAGAAAGCATACTGTGCTCAATTCCAAAGTCCTTTGTACTGTGAAAAACCAAAACAGCGATTTAAGAAAGAAAAAAGCAAAAATAAAACAAAAACTGAAGATGGTACTTGGTTTAGTCACAGGAGAAAACCTAAAACTTTGATGTTCCAACAGCAAAGAATATAATAATGCTTCATAATTATTACATATAATTTCAGAGTTGGAAATATTGTATAACATAGTTTCACATGTTTAAAATAGTTTTTCTTTGTATGTAATGTATTTGGAAATTCTCCAGCATTATCAGGTTTAATAATTAAATCACAATTTGCAAATAAAAATCTATTCCACTCCTGCACATCCAAGTATGTGAAAACAGTAGATAATATTCCCATTTCGATTCTGACTACTGGGTGTCCACTTTGCCAGGGTTATATTTTTGATGTAATTAACTTCTGAAACTGAGTAAGATACCAACTATAAATATCTGCATGGTAACATGGTCTTTGAGAGTTTTTAATACAATTTCAGTGTGCAAATAGGTCTTAAAAAGTCATATATTCTAACTTTCTATCCAGTGCACAAATCTCCTTTATAGCATCCAGAATGTATTAACTGTTCAACTTCTGCCTGAAAACTGCCCTCCCATTAAGAGACAGGAAAGCAGAGACAACACTTTGCCAACAAAGGTCATATAGTCAAAGCTATGGTTTTTCCAGTAGTCATGTACAGATGTGAGAGTTGGACCATAAAGAAGGTTGAGCGCCAAAGAATTGATGCTTTTGAATTGTGGTGCAGGAGTGCTTGCTTTGGCAGCACATATACTGAACTGTGGTGCTGGAGAAGACTTGAGAGTCCCTTGGACATCAAGAAGATCAAACCAGTCAATCTTAAAGGAAATCAACCCTGAATATTCATTGGAAGGACTGATGCTGAAGCAGAAGTTCCAGTACTTTGGCCATCTGATGTGAAGAGCTGACTCACTGGAAAAGACCCTGATGCTGGAAAAGATTGAAGGCAAAAGGAGAAGAGGGCAGCAGAGTATGAGATGGTTGGCAGCATCACTGATTCAGCGGACATGAATTTGAACAACTCTGGGAGATAGTAAAGGACAGGGAAGCCTGGCATGCTTCAGCCCATGGGGTCGCACAGAGTTGAACATGACTTAGCTGACTGAATAACAACAACAATAGTCATTTAGATATTTTCTGTGCTCATATGACATATCTGTGTATGTTTTTCTTGTACTACAGAGATATAATCATATTATACTATTTTACAAAGCTTCTTATACTTAAAAAAAATATATTGGGGCATCTTTCCATGTTAGTACATAGTATCACTTTCTTTCTAATAGTTAACTCCATGATATAAATATATCATTATTTATTTATCCAGATCCATACTGATGACATTTAGATTACTTTCACACTGTTTTAATTGTTACATAAAGTCAAATTTCTCTTACTGAAATTTCTTTCTGTAATTTTTGCTCTGGAATCCTTTGGAATAAATTTAATCTATCATCTAATAGATTTTTAAACATTTGAGAAACACTATCAAATGGGGACTAAATGGCAGAACATATGAAAAGTTCTGAGTTATATACTCAATCAGAAATCAATAGGGGAAATGCTTTCTTCAAATAAAAACAAGCTATAAATGTCTGGCAACACAAAATGGATGCCTAAATTATGGTTTATGAAGCTGATAGGATGTTATACAATGATCAGAAATACCTATCTAATGTGGCATCAAGACAAATGTCACAATGTTCAGTAAATGAAGACATGCAATTGCACGTGAACTGAGATTAATTATGACTTATGTCTGCATATGAAAAAGAGAGAAACAGTCAAGTGAAATGTGGTTGAGTTAGGGTGTAAGGAGATGGACCATCATTTCCTTTTAAAATACCCTTTAATATTTCCTAATTTGGTTTCTACAATAAATGAAAAAAAGATAAAAATGATAGTTTTCAGGAAGCCCAAAATCCTCATTCTCCATTTCAAGGCCCTCTTTCTTCCCTGATTATCTTAGACCTATCAACCTTCACAGTAAATAATCAGGTTCTGAAACTCTTCATGGCAAAGTTACAATCAATAAACTAAGCTTGAAGTGTGGACTGTTCACTAAAGAACAGAATGGTATGGAAGGGAAAAAGCTAAGGGATCAAACAAGGAAAAGAAGGGACGATCAGGAAGAATTCCACTTTAAACCATGTTCACAATCATCCAGTGCTACCATTTTTGTTCTATCTATACAAGTGAAGAGAAATGGTATGAATTTCCAGATCATTCAGTCGAGGCAATGTGCAAGTCAAAAACCAAGTAAATGAATAAGATTTGGGTACTTAAGGACAAAAATGGTCATATTCTCAAGCCAACACAAAAGTTCTTATTTTAGGAATTTAAAGTCTCAAGCTCTAATAGCTATATGGATATTCATTAAATTCATAATCACTCATTTCTATCCCGAAATTGCATCCGTTTTGTAAGCACCGATTAATTCCTTGAACAAACCTAAGTCACAACAGGCTTTTCTTTTTTAAAGTATTCCTCATCATCATAACCAATATTTTGCATCTACGTACTGTGTTGAATAATGAAAGACAAAGCACCAGTGAGTAAAAACAATGATTGGATTATTTTGGTTCATGTGCTTTGGGCATGAAAGGTTGTTTGTTTACAAGGCCACAATATCACCTTGGTTCTGGAGAGAGTGACATATGTGCTCTAGCTGCTCAAAGATTAACTACCAATGAGTCATGAGTCACATTTACAGCTGGGAACTTCACTCTAGAAAAATAGGAAGAGAAACACTCATGCCTGTAAATCAGGAACAAGCTCTAGTGTTCATGCTCACACTTAGAGGGAGACATAGTAAAATCTTGTCTATTTTGTCAACTGATCTACTTGCAAAATAAATTTTCTGGCCTCTCACCTTCTGAGATTGCCCATACTCTGTGGAAAGTTTCTTTCAGGACTAGTCTTGCCTTTTGAGATGGAATGCATTCTGTCTATGGAATGTGTATCTCTCTAAATAAATCTACTTCTTACCTATCATAAATAAATAAATTTCCTTTTTTGGGCCATCCTCAGAGAATATTTTTCTTAATGACTTGGCAAAAATCTACAACACATGCTTTTCAAATCTTCTCAACTTCTTTCTGTCACCAAAACACATCCCAGCTTTCTATTTGGTGAAAGAACTATGTTAGACCTTGAGACACATTTGGGAGAGCAGGGTAAAGCGGGCACACGCCTGTTCTCAAGGAGCTTACAGTAGTATTAAGGAGGGGGGCAGGGGCAGGAGGATATGCAGCTATGATTTAAAGAACAGTCAATATGTAATCATCAGTAACAATCAGGATTGCAAAGTATCCTAGTACTTAGTAATAATGGGATAAAACAAGATGACCCTTGAAAGTTTTGGGTGATCAAAATCAGTTATATAATCAAAAAAATGCAGAAAGCCTTGGTTGATGGTGGTTTATATAAAAAAGATGTAAAGGTTTCAACTGAGTAGAACTCCATAAATGCATAAAAGTCAACCATGTAAAATGGCTGTTAAAATAGCTAATCTAAATTAATAGAAGTACTATATCCAGATCAAGAAAAATAAATAATCCCACTGCCTCCAAATCCACAGTTACTGGTGCTGTTTCATGAGGCTCATTTAAGAGGAACATCATAAAACTAGGAGTGTGCACATGTGTACACTCATACTTGCTACGGGAGCAATGACAGTGAAGTGTCTGTAAATCACACAATGCAAAAACTAAAGGAACTGAAGACATGTAGCTTAAAAGAAGACGTGCAGGTGAGCAGTGGCGGGCAGCAAGTACAGTTGAGATGAATGCCTTTGAGCTGTCTGCAGGAACTCATGTTAGGTGCAAAGAAAGACAAATGTTCATCCTGGCCTCCCAAGGTTATGACCATGGCTGATTATTGCCATGGTCAGGGTATATAAGATGACTTGAATAACACCCAGTGGCTCTTATATAATTCTATATATTTTAGGAAATGAAATTCAATATTCCTTCAATAGTACCTTCAGTAATGGCACTTGAAAGTTTCAGTCATTCACACATACACACAAAAACACAATCATCACACTGAAGAAGCATAAAGCAGAGGAATGTCTGTTAATGTCAAATAATGAAACTAGCACTAAAGAAGTCCATCTTCTGCAATACGTATCCTGTGGGTTCAACCTCCTTAGGGCTGGTAACATATGCTTAGTCAGTATATTCTTCTGGAAGCCAGTAAGGTTATTTCGGAAATTTGAGATTTTAGGTAAAACACAGTAATGTCTTTAAAAATTATAAACTTAATTTCTTAAAATCCTCAAAGGATTATTACAATCATATAGATAGGTCTTCCAAATTGGTGAGAACAATAGATAAAGTGAGACTGTTAAGGTATTTCAGAAGATGTATTTTAGCATATGTCTTTAAGATGGATTTGTAGTCTCAATGTGGTGAAAGCAGTTCTAAAATTACCAATAGCTCTTCCTTTCTTTCTGTATACACAGAGGAAATGAAAAGGGAATGGATAAACTACCAAAAAGCAAAACTTCATACCATGTGTAATTCAGGCAGATGAAAGCATTCAGAGGTTGGTTTGTGGGCAGTCACGGCATCACAGACCCCCAAACAACTCAACTGCCCTTCCAGATGCCACAGAGTAAGCAGCTTTTCAGTTGACTATGTGTATTTACCAATCCAGTAAGCAGGGGAGACATATGGTTTGGCAAAAAGGATAGACAAGAAAATGTACATATTTTAGGGCTTCCAGCTAAGCTATATGCTAAATAAATGGATAAAATATTGACTTACCTGCACTGCCGAGCTGCTTATAAAACCTGTACTCTAAATGAAGCTGTGGAGCACGTGATTTTATTGGTTCCTGAAACCCAAGAAAAGAAATACTGATCAGATTTGACAGTTTTTCCATTCCTAGGTTTTCAGAGTAAACCAGGGTTAAGACCACTTAATATTTTAGCAATGATATTCATATATGATAGCATTTTCGTACCACAATTTCCCTTTGAAAGTACATCTAGGGGAAGATGAAGTTGAATTATACACAATCTCTGCAATGGATATTTATATAAAAATACTCTGTATGAGACACCACTCAAGGATAGCTCTCTCATCATGAAGTATTCTCCTGAAATATCTTCTCTTAGGAAACCAGATGTCATACCTTTTAATGAAATACTAGCATGCATTTCCTGCTTGTTTTATTATGAATTTGGGACAGTAAATAGCTTTATTGTTTTTGGAAAAATGATATATGCTCAGGAAAAAAATTCACTTACACAAAAATTACAAAGAAGGTAAAAATACCCCAAGACTTTTAAAAGAGAAGTCCTGTTAACATTTAGGTGAATGTTTTTCCAAATATTTATTTATACATATATTTATATATATAATATAGACTCAAAATGTATTTTAAACAAATGAGAGCACACTATATATGGTGTTCTGTAACGTGACTTTAAATTCAACAATGTGATCATACCATTCCATAGCAGTAAGTAAAACTGCATATTATTGTGTGTATTTACATACATGCAAATCATAATGTTTGAACATCTGAACTGTTTTCAATTTTCAATATTATGAATAAAGTTGTAGGAACAGTGTTACGTGTACTTATTTTTACACTGAAGAGAATTAAAGACTGTAAGTGCGACTAAGACATGTAGCTTTAATTAGGATGGTGTTCAAGCTTTTAAAAATAGAGTTTACTAAGTAACCCAAAGATAAAGCAGCCACACTACCACACTTTGCTCTACACCAAACTTCAAGAATTGGTTGGCTAATCATTCTGAATTAACAGCATACAGGCAACTAGTTAATCAGAAAAATCAAACATCACTCTGAAAGATACATCTGTATATCCATTAGGATGACCATTAACAAAAACACAGACAATAACAAGTGTTGCAGAGCATGTGGAGAAACTGGAATCCTTGTGTACTGCTAGTGGGAATGTAAAATAGTATAGTTACTAAAGAAAACAGTATAGTAATTTCTCAAAAAGTTAAATATAGAAGTACCATATGATCCAGCAATTCTACTTCTAAATATATACCCAAAAGAATTGAAAATGCTGACTCAAACTGATATTTGTAGACCCATGTTCATTGTAATATAATTCATAATAGGCAAAAGGTGAAAGCAACCCAAATATCTATCAACAAATGGATGGATAAATAAAATGTGGTTACAGTTTGTTCCATACATGTGATGGCATTTTATTCAGCCAAAAAAAGGAAAGCCATTCTGACACATGCTACAAAATGGACGAAACTTGGGGACAGCATGTTAAGTGAAGTAAGCCAGATTCAAAAGGACAAACACTGAGTGCTTCTACCTAAGGTGCCTGCTGCTGCTAAGTCACGTCAGTTGTGTCCAACTCTGGGCCCAGAGCAGTCAAATTCACAGACACAAAGTTGAATGGCGGTTGCCAGGAGCGTGGTGGGGGGAGGGGTGGGGAATGCTGCTGGGGTTTAAGGAGCACAGAATTTTAGACAAGGAAGGTGAAAAAAACTTTTTTTTTTTGTCCATTCTTTGAGGTTTTTATTTTTATTTTTTTTTCCATTTATTTTTATTAGTTGGAGGCTAATTACTTTACATCATTGTGAAAAAAACTTTCAGAGACAATGACAGTGATAGTGATGGGAGCACACCAATGTGAATGTACTTAATGTCAACGAACTGTACAACTAAAAATGGTTAATTCGAGAACCAATTCCATACATAATTTTCAAATATTTTTTCCCATTCCATGGGCTCTCTTTTCACTCTGTTCAGAGTCTTCTGATGCACTAAAGTTTTTAATTTTGATAAAGTCCAACCTATCTTTTCTTGCTTATGCTTTTTGTGTTACATCCAAAAAAGAACTGCCAAATCTAATGCTATGAAGCTTCTCCCCTAAGCTTTCTTCCAAGAAATTTATAGTTTTGGCTGTTATGTTTAGGTCTTTGATCCATTTTTAATTAATTTTGGTGTATGACGTAAAGGGTCTCACTTCACTGCAAGTGGATCTCCAGCTTCCTCAACTCCATTTGCTGAAAAAAACTGTCCTCTCCTCAGTGAATGATTACTTGTACTATTTTTAAGATAGGCTCAAAAGAGAGTTCCTCAGCTTCCCTTGATAATTCACGCTCGTGTCTAACAAGTTTCATAGTTTGGAAGATCTTTATATGTAACTGTCATCTCCAATACTGGAACCTCAGCCTATTTCTTCTATGTCCTCAGTAACAAAGATAAGACAGTTCCTGACTAACCTGTGAATACTGTAACAGCTATCTTCAAATAACAAAGCTCTTCAATCATTTCCTGGACTTCCTTTATTCAGGCAAAGTAATTTCAAATTTTTTAAACTTTCCTCACTGGTCCTATTTTTAAGTTCTTTGATCACCTTTGAAGGCTCTTCCTGAACCCACCTGAAGGTTTCTGCATTTTTTTAAAAATATAGAATCCATAAATTACAGAATTCAGACCTTTCCTTGAAGTTACCTAGTCTATCCTTTTGCTTCTAAGAAAGCTTTATCTAAATCAACTCAAGTAGCCTGACATATTTCAAAGCCCTAAGGAGCTCTGCGAAAGAATTCACAGACTTCTTTGATTGCAAAATCAGGAAGCATCAGAGCTGGACTTCGAGTTTCTCAAGATTCCTGTGGTACCAAAATATGTACAGAAGACTAATTATACTGTAGAGTCACAGTATTCCTTATGCATTTATCTCTTCAGATAGAGAGTGTCCATTCAGTTTTAGATCTTCTAGTATATCAGCACCAAAGCAGCCAATCACAGAATTTGTCTTTTAGCAAAATCATTAATAATTTATAAGAAACCAAGAGAAACAGTGATGACAAATTGATATGGGACCAGAGGGTGATCTAAACACTAGAAACAGGAGTGTTCTTTCTGCAGAAACAGTCTTGAATTTTGACAAACCACAAGAGTCAATGAATTTAAAAAACACAGCTCCTTCCTCAAACATAATACTCCCAAACTTTATATTGGAAACATTAATAGGAAATAGTCAACCTGATCCTGGAAAAGTAAGTTAACAGATTTAAAAAAGCAGTAACTCTTAAGAGCTACAGGGCTGAAAGTGGGTGTACACATCACATATATTCAGACATGAGTGGCCTTTTATCACAGACAGAAGTATTTATACCCTTCAGCCACCCCCTTCAGCACATAGCTGTAGCCTGCTCAGCCAACTGGAGCATCAAGTGCTCTTCTGAAAGCACTATGAATAAAGGATACTGCAAACAATCTCCAGATTGTGAAAGGCAGTGGGATTAGCAGCATAGAGAGAAAAATTTTTAAACAACTGTTAGAAAAACCCTGTCAGAAAGAACTCCAGAAACCTCTCTTGATAGGGGTAAAGGAGGGATTCATTACACAAGCTTGTTTACACTGTATCAGATTTTTAAAAAACTGTTCCTGGAAATCCAAGAAACAGGAGCCTAAAAGGAAGATTCAACCAAAGTAGAACTGCAGCACCACAATCAGGACTTCCTTGTATTTCTGTGTGAGATGCTGATGACATCTCTATAGAGGGCTGGCTATCTGCCAGAATCACGGTTGTTACGGAGCACACATGCCTGCCTGAAACCCTAAACCAACAGCAGACGGCTACCTGGTAAGACTGTAATGCTTAAGGCAAATTTTGCTGTTACAGTGAAGAGAGCTCAATTACTGCCATCATATCTCCCACAAAGAACACAGCCCCAGAGCAAGAGAGGAAGCCCACAGACAAGACTGAGTATCCTTTAAAAAGCCTTTATTTAAGACTTATTTGAAAGAGAAATGAGGGACTGAGGCACATCATAGCAGATAACATGAAGTCTATGTGGCTTTAACTCTTGGCCATATGAAGAATAAAACTTTAATAAAATGTAAGTGAAAAATAAAATTAAAAAAAATGTAAGTGAAATGCAATGGTCAGTCAAGTCAATAATATGTTATGCAAGCTTATCTAAAGAGGCTAACTAGTATGAGCCGAGAAGAAGAAATCTAGATAGAAAAAGCTGTGCCTACCAGAAGTCTTGATAAGTAAGGGGACAATTATAAACATACATATTGAGGCAACATTTTAAAGTGTTTTAGGGGGCTGCTTTTTCCTATTACTAGTTTCAAAGAATCAAAATTATTCCAACTTACCAAAATAATAAAACAGAAAAAGTAAAAAAAAGAGATGAACTAGAGAATACTTTTACAGAATAATTAAATTCCCCTAAGTAAAAATATATGGTTGATCCTTTGATACTCAATCTGAGGAAAATATCTGATCTGCATTGTCATATGCATTATCTCTCTTCCTCCTTCCATTTTGCCAACAAAAGCTTCAGGTCAACAAACAAAAGAAAATACTTGGTTCCCGAGCAGCTACCTGCTCTCAGACCTGCTTCCTGTCCACCTCTTTGTAGAGAAACTACTCTGATGACTATCAGTTCTTCACAGGACAACTCTAACTCCTCCAAAAAACAAATTTAAGGAGAGAAAAGGACCAACCACAAAGCAAGTGTGGATGTGGTAGGTGCAATTCATTAGGGAAAAAAAACAGTGATTACCACAAGATACTTCCTTCAACTATAATGCCTCTGCCTTCCAACTAAGAGCACCAAACCACCTGTAGATCCTGGGAAACATACTAGGATTTATTAGAAGGACAATATTTATACAGCTTTCTATTTATATAGAAACTGGTTACACAAAGAATTTCATATGGCTAGAAGTGGTTTTGTATCAGTCTTAAAAACAGGCTAAAGAACTGTCTCTTCTAAAAATATTAACCCTTAAAAACAAGAGAATTATTCTTTAACAGGATGCTATTTTCAATGACTAGATTAATTATTCATAAGATTAGCACTGACAAAAATAACTGAACTCTTTGCTTCAAATCTGGGCACATGATGTGTTTTCCATGTTTGACATCTTTTTAAGGCAATGATAGATGATCAGATCTGGAAGTATATTGATAAATATCTTATATTTTTTAAATGGATCACTTATATTTAGGAATAAGAAAATGTTAAATAAAAATAGCACAGTGGAAGGTACAAAGTTTACAGAAATTACTAGGATTTTTTTTCCTTCTAGCTATTTTTAATTAACTTTTTGGATTCATCATTGCTAATACTATAGTTAGCATCTTCTAACTGCACAGCGTTTCACAGTATACAGTGATTCATCACTGTAACACTATATATATTAGAAGGAAATGACTGTGTGGTATTATATGCAAGGAAAAAATTAGTATTTTTATGAATGCTTAAAATTATTTCCTGTAAAAAGATACGTGAAGGGTGAGAGGACTAAAACATAATTACCACAAATATAGATTCTACTCACCAGTTTGATAGCTACATATTCATTGGTGTAGAGATTTTTACCTAGGGGAAAAGCAGAATGTATATGTTTTAGTGACATTTATTCTGGGAAATGCAAAGCAAAATCTTAGCTTACAGGGTCATGAGAAAGGTCACATTCCCAATGCTGTTCACATATATGAAACATGATTTGTAAGTGAAAAGCTAAACAGAGATAATGAGACTCAGCAGGACAAGAATAAAACCAGCTTGAGAATTTGAAAATTTAAGTTAGACATGAGAATCTTTTATTTTAAAGAAAACAAATCTCTCTCTGTCACAAGCACATTTTGCTATTTAGTATTTCCCAACTATTAAATCACAGGCAACTCAAAAAGAAGAGACACCAGAATTACAAAGATGGAGAGATTTTAATTTTTGTCACAATAAACACAAACCCTCATATTGCTAACTCATTGACAAATAAGGCTTTTATATTTTTTTGTCATGGTATTTAGTGTCGACCTTCGTTGGCATAAAGGACAGTGTGAAATAAAACCTATTACAGCCTGACTCTCTCTGCGCAGACTCATCTGCTGTCTCTTAGCAGAGGATTCTCTCTCTTTTTTTTTTTTTGCAGAGGATTCTCAAAGCTGTTCTGACCCTTCACCAGCATGCTAGCTCTACATCTTTACCTATGTGCAGCCACAGCTCTCCACCCGAACACTGGAACAACTCAAAAGTTCTTCTTGAAGGTTTAACCCTTCTCCCTCTCAACTTCTCTACCTGTAGAAACGGAATCAATATTCTTCTGTACTAGATACCTAGAGTCAGAACCCAGGATGAGTATAAGAGCAACAACCACCAGTTGGTTGAACCCACATTACATGCCGGCTACTTAGCTACCTTCACCTCTACCTTCACTTTAACTCCACTGATCCTTGGAGGCTAATGTGAATTCCTTCTGAGTGCTTCGTATATACCATATAGCTCAGCCACTGTACTGGACTTCACACTGCTTCTTATTTTTGTCCTATCTTAGTCAGCTAGACTACAAGTATCTTGAGAGTAGCGATTTTATTTAATGGTTCTGTCAATGTCCTATGGTGCTTAACATCATGTTCTACATATTTCAGATACTCAAAACCTTGACTAAAAGTTGTAGGTGTATATAGTATGACTATTTTTTAAGTAACACACAGAGGTAAATGTTAGCTTTATATATATATATATATATATATATATATATATACACACACATATACACACACACACACACATAGTTGAATATATGCACGGAAAAGGACACAAAAAGATATATACTAAGGTATTAAATGACTGTTTCTAATTTTATATAATATAGATTATTTTGATAATAAAAACCTTGCATTTGGGGAACAAAAGGCTGCTTACAATACTGGTATTTTTAACAAGCTCTAGACAATAGACGGCCCTTTGTAAACTACACTGTTATACTTTTAATACTGTCATCAGTTTTCCCAGCACCTTTACGTGGAGAAGAGTACAAGGATTTAGGAGTAATTTTTGTCTGCAAACAACATTAAAGAGGATTCACAGGTTACCATTCAGAGACTGCACTCTGGATCCTCACACAAGACCTTGCACATGGGTCAAAGTTTATTAAATAAACCACATAAAGTGATAAGGTTAAAAAGGAAATATGAAGAAGTCAGTAGATGACGCAGATGAGGGAGAGTAAAGCATATGGGCCGTAAATGGCACCTGAGGCAAGTCACTGAGAACGCAGAGAGGATAAAAGGCATTTCTCTAATACAGCAACAGTGAGGTGGAGAAACGACAGAAAATGCAGAGAACGTGATCGACTGAGTGGGCCGACAGGAAAGAAGTCAAGTATACAGGGGAGAACGGTGAGAAACAAAGCGAGAAAAACCCACTACAGACAGAGTGTGAATAACCTGGAAGGCCAGCTTCTTATTCTGAGGTGGGCATACTTTTCCTAAATCCTCACTTTTTTTTTTGAAGATTTGGGGAAAACCTTTTTTTTTTTTAATACTTAAAGAAACTTGCTAAATTATAGAAATCGTGCAGTTTCCTTAAAAAAAAAAAAAAGCAAGAGCTTATAGATCTGCTTATTCCACAGTCTAGGAGGCCTCACCGATCAGTAAGGAATCTTTTCCTCATTTTTCCTGTGTTCAGTTGGGCAGTCCAGTTTTCACAGCTGTTTACTTTCCAATTCCTGTGAAGGTGGAAAAGAGCAGCTGCCAGGTGGGGCCAGGGAAGGAGGGGATGTGACGATGCAACTGCTCCATACATGTATGTACGTGTATATATATGTGTGTGCGCGTGCTCAGTCACTGCAGTCGTGTCCGACTCTGCGACCCCATGGGCTGTAGCCCCCTGGCTCCTCTGTCCATGGGATTCTCAGGCAAGAACACTGGAGTGGGTTGCCATTTCCTCCTCTAGCGGATCTTTCCAACCCAGGGATCAAACCCGAGTCTTCTGTATTGCAGGATTCTTCACTGCTAAACCACTGGGGAAGCCCAAAAATACATATGGACTTGCAATTACTCTTCACTTGTTTTTATTTCCTTCTGCATCCCAACTTTCTGAAATTTCCAAATGAATTCAATTCTTGAACATGCCTGGTGTTTATATGTTACAAACTGGCCTACCCTTCAAATCATTCAGCTTTCTCCAGACTGCTAAATTAGTTACAACTGCTTTCTAGCTTCTAGAATTCTGGTACCATTTCTCAGCTGTTTTTAATCTTCTTTCCCTTTTTTTTGTTGCTGTTCCTTGTGGCTTTTATACCTTAAAAAAAAATCCTTTTTCTGTGTAAATTGATACAGTCACTATGGAAGAGAGTATGGAGATTTCTTTTAAAAACTAGGTATAAAACCACCATATGGCCCAGCAATCCCACTCGTAGGCATATACCCTTAGGAAATCAGAATTGAAAAAGACATATGTACCCCAAAGGTCACTGCAGCACTATTTACAATAGCTAGACCATGGAAGCAACCTAGATATCCACTGACAGATGAGTGGATAAAGAAGCTGTGGTACATATATACAACGGAATATTACTCAGCCATAAAATGGAATGCATCTGGTCAGTTCTAAGGAGGTGGATGAACCTAGAGCCTATTATACAGAGTGAAGTCAGTCAGAAAGAGAAAAACAAATACTGTATACTAACGTATATATATGGAATATAGAAAGGTGGTACTGATGAAATTATTTGCAGGATAGCAATGGAGACAGACATAGGGAACAGACTTATGGACATGGGCGGGGGGCACGGGGGAGGAAGGAAAGGTTGAGATGTATGTAAAGAGTAACAGGAAAACTTACATTACCATATGTAAAATAGACAGCCAATAGGAATTTGCTGTATGACTCAAGAACCTAGAAGGGTAGGATTGCGAGGTAGGTGGGAGGGAAGTTCAAGAGGGAGGGGACATATGTAAACCTATGGCTGATTCATGTTGATGTTTGGCAGAAACCAACACAATACTGTAAAGCAATTATCCTTCAATTAAAAAATAAATAAATAAAAATCCCTTTTCTAAATATCCTTTATAAAATTAAGGCAGCACTCAGCTACCTTAAAATAACACACATATTATAATTACTAATGCATGTATATTTTTACCTCCACTCAGCAGTGAGTTTCCTAAGAACAAGAATATTCCACTCATCTTTTTATCCCTAACAACAAAGATCTTATATACAGTAGGTAACAGATACTTGCTAAAGTGAACCAAATTGACTTGATATGCAGAAGAGTCTTCTGAGAAAGTTCTGGGTATGTGTGTGTGTGTGTGTATGTATATATATATATGTGTGTGTGTATATATATATGTGTATATATATATTATGGATAATTCTAAATGCGAATACAGTAGTTTTGACTTCATTATTTGGCTTGTTGTGAAATCACCAGAAATCTTTGTGCTAAGAGAAAACGTATAATAGTGAAAGCTATATTTTCAAAATATTAATCTATTAGACAAAAGAGAGAAGAATACCTACAAAGAAAATGATCAGGAAGTTTTTACAGTAGAATATTTAAAGACTAACATCTACCATACAGTATGATTATAAGGATTACAAGAGTTAGAATATGTGAAAGTACATTATAAACTGCAAGATGCTAGGTAAACCTAATTTTTATTACTTCTATTATTATTGTAGGTATGATGCAATAATTCCTGGAAGACAACTTTAACAAACAGGATTTATAAATCAAGACATTTAAGAAAAAACTAGCAACCTCTGGATTACACATAAACATGAGAGAGAGGGAAAAGAGAAAGGTGAAAGTTGATACTCTAATTAGAGGAAAACAGAGAGAAAACCAGGAGGGTAAGCAACGATCATCTCACTCCACCACAGTGCCCTCCTCCAAATTCTTGTTAAACGCAAAAGAAACAGACAAATTACAAAACACCTCTCAGCTTCAATTTCTGTATCTGTATAAAGGAATATAATCAGAGAAGTATAATAAATGATAGCCTTTGTAACACCAAACACAACAGCTGATACATTACAGAATGCTTGTCTTGCTTTTGTTTTCTTTCTCTACTTATTTAAAAAAACAAAAACAAAAAACTGAACATGTCACCCTCTTACAAAGCGATTATCTTTATTCCTAAGAGGCCCTGGAAGTGACTAGGTAATTCTCCTAAGCTATGCATCATTCAAATGAATTAGTTTGCCAGAGGGCATCATTAAGACTGAAGTGTGTGCATGCTGAGTTGCTTCAGTTTGACTCTTTGTGACCCCAAGAACTGTAGCCCGCCAGGCTCCTCTGTCCATGAGATTCTCCAGGCAAAATTACTGGAGTGGGTTGCTGTGCCCTCCTCCACAGAATGTTCCCAACCTAGGGATCAAACCCATCCACGTCTCTTGTACCTCCTGCATTGGCAGGCAGGTTCTTTACCACTAGCACTACCTGGGTCAGGGGAATTCTCTGGAGGTCTGGCGGTTAGGACTTGGTACTTTCACTGTCATGGCCCAGATTCAATCCCTGGTCCTTGAACTAAGATCCCACAAGCCACATGGAGAAGCCAAAAATATAAAAAATAAAGGACTGAAGA